CACTGCGCTGTAAACTGAGTCACCTTAGGCAAATAGTTATTATAATAAACAATAAGTTTCTATTACCTTGAAATACAGGTAACCAGGTTGCACCAACTCTAGCCCCCGGTTGAGGGACCCTCCACCCCTCCCCTGTACCAATCCAAATTCACCTTTACTAGTGAAATCATCAGCCACCAATGCAAATCCTCCTTTACTTCCCCCTTTCCTAATGAAATCACCAACCACCAATGAAAAGTGTACTCGTATCCGACCCTACCCCTCTTGCTTTCTGTACCCCATAAAAACTTCCTCCACCCCGGGTTCCGGGCTCGTCCTAGGCTTGCATGCCAGGAGAGTCCAGGCTTCCCGGGGCCTGAAATAAACTTATCTCGTGCTTTTTACATCGGAGTGTGTCTCGGACTGTCTGTGGGGGTCTTTTGGGAGAATTTCAGGCATGACACTTTGATTCTGAATCCATAAAGGGGCTGGATCTGTTTAATGTGCACTGTGCTAATTAATAACACTGCTGATGTCTGCTGCTGCCCTGAGGATACAAAAACCACAAGGAGAAACAAGGGGCTGTTTCTGTCTCCAGGAGATAGCCTTGCTGCTCTCCGGAATCACTGGATTTTCTGTAAATAAAAGTGAAACTGTTGATCTTTCATCCGCTTCCTGCTTCTTCACTGACTGGCTTGGGTGACAGGTGGGCGGACTCCTTGGTCCGGCAACAGTCAGGTGGGGGGAGGGCGCTGTAATGGGCCAGCAGGGACGGCTCTCCCAGGGTTGCACAGCCGCCGTCCTCACGGCTCACACACCCAACACGCACACACACACATGCACATACCCACTTTCCTTTCCCTTCTGAGATGGTGATGTGTTTTCTCTCTCGTCCAAAGCCCATCTTTCTGTTTTTGAAGCAGAGAGCTTCCCATCGTCTTCAATCTGTGTACAAAGGGGTTAAGTCTCTAGAGTAGCTATTAAGACACTCACAACAGGGAGCAGTGAGATAGCGTTACCAATTTGCAATCTCCAACCTCAGTGGCCCCAGCCCTGCCCAGAAATCACAATACTTCTTTGGTCAGCCCCCTCTCCAGCTCACCAGAACCAGCTACTTCAAACCTCCACACCCATCAGATCCAGAAGGGTATAATATTCTGTCGCCCTCCAGGAGGGAGAGAAAAACCTGTCTTACCTGTCTCAGAAGCAAAAGGTCAGTGATTTCACAGCAGCAACCCTAGAAAGGGAGTCTGGACCCTGGAAAAGTGGAGAAGACCAGAGTAAAGAGGAAAGTAGCCTCACAGAAGACCATCCTAAGTTGCTTCCAGACAGAGGGAGGATCTAGCTAAAAATGGAAAGAAATGTTTTGCAGTTATTTCTGGTAATGGTCTGGACTATATACAGGTCTCAGATGCAAACTCAGAGAGTTACATACAAATATAATTTTGTATTTATTTATTTATTTATTTATTTTATTACGTATTTTATTTTAGAGACAGAGTCTCAAGGTCTCCCAGGCAAGAGGACAGTGGCAGGATCATATAGCTTGCTGTAATCTGAAACTCCTGGCCTCAAGTGATCCTCCCAACTCAGCCTGGTAAAGTGCTAGGATTGCAGATAAAAAGATTCTAGTCCATGCCCCCACTAGAACCCAGGTGTTATATAAGACAAATCATCACAGGTCAAGTGAAGAAAGAAAGGTAGTGTCAGAATAATTGGTTAAAAATTTAGAGAAATAAAAACTTGTTAGGTTCTTACCTGAATAATACCAAAATAAGCTCAAGATATTTTAAAAGTATATAAACAGGGCCAGGTGCAGTGGTTCACACCTGTAATCCCAGCATTTTGGGAGGCCAAGGCAGAGAGGACCACTTGGTGTCAGGAGTTTTTAACCAACCGGAGCAAGATCGAGACCCCAGTCTCTACTAAAAATAGAAAAAAATAGCCAGATGTGATGGCATGTGCCCATAGTCCTAGCTACTGAGGGGGCTGAGGCAGGAAGCTTGCTTGAGCCCAGGAGCTAGAGATTGCAGTGAGCTATGATCATACCACTGCACTCTATACAGAGTGAAAGATCTACAACCCTATCTCAAAAAAAAAAAAGTGTATACATAAATAGTACAAAAATATAAGAAATTACAATTTTAAAAAACAAGTAACTATAAACTGAGGGGGAAATGGGCATATATAACTACATAAAAAATTTAACTCCTGTATGTAAAATTATAAGTTGATTAGAAAGAATTTTTGCCATTAGGGGAGGGAAAACTTTATCCTTTTATGGGTTTTGGCTTGGCCTGACAATTAAATTGTCCTAAGACACATCAACAGGAGAAAAATGTGCAGATTTATTTAATGCAAGTCTTACATCTTACATGGCACAGAAGCTCTCACAAGGAAATGATACACAGACCAGTGAGACCAGAGCACGTCTATAGTCAATCAGATAAAGGGCAGTAAGTCTGAATACTCGCCAGGGCACAGGGGCTCGAGCTCAGGGGGGTTAACTGAGTGGAGTAGAGATTAGGGAGATACGGGCTAGTTTCATAAGGTTCATCTGTACAGATTCCCCTCTGCCTCAACTTCCTGTCCTTGATGATAAGAACAATACTTTCCTTCTGGTACAGGAAGAACATCTATCCACATGGGAATGTCGTCTTCTGCTCTTAGGAAACAGAAGGAAGGTTGGAGCCACCTTCTTGCACCTGCTGTTCTGTTGAGTGCCTCTAACTCAGCTGTTCTCAACCTGTGGGTCGCAACCCCTTTGGACTGTATTAGAGGTTTGCGGCATTAGGAAGGTTGAGAACCACTGCTCTGACTCAAAATAGTCAATATGCCACAGTGGTATGTTTTGGGTGGCACATACTAAACTCCTTCAGTAGCAAATACGATTGTCAAAGGGTTAGTGTATTTTTTATCAAAATTGCTCATGTCCGTTGATAGGAAAAATGCTAAGAGTGTAATAGTTCAGTTGGCTAAGGACACTGTTATAGGCTGACTCGTGTCCTCCCTCAGATTCACATGTTGAAGTCCTAACCCTCAGAATGTGACTATATTTGGAGATAAGGTCTCTAAAGAGGTAACTGAGGTTAAATAATGTTATTAAAATGGCCCTAATCCCTAAGAAGAGATTAGGACCCAGACACACACACAGGGAAGACCCCGTGAAGACACAGGGAGAAGGTGGCCAAGGGGGAGGGCTCAGAGGAAACCACCACTGCTGGCACCTTGACCTTGGATTTCCAGCCTCCAGGTTGTGAAAAATTCCAGTTGGATAAGCCACCCAGTTTGCGGTACTTTGCTATGACCACCCTAGCACACGAACACAGACATAAATAATTTGCAGAAGAGAATACAGTTAATAAAGAAAAGTACATATTCAAAACTGGAAGAGAAATCTTCACATTTGAACTTGGTCCTAAAAAATTAAGAACTGATGACATCTGATCAGCATGTAATTTTTTTTTTTTTTTT